AAAAAATTGCCAAAAGGGAGTAACGAACGGGACGTGAGTACCCATGCAAGGAAACTCCCTACAGAATAAAAAATAAATAAATATTACAAAGTTTTAAGTCAGTGCGAATGAGTTCTATGGCAGGAACAGTCTATAAACACTGACCAGGTACACGGTTGGTCAATATCGAAAACATTTGCTAATAAATTAAAATAGTGATTAGTGACAAAGTTCTTAAAGGATGAAAGAGTACCTAAGGAAGACGGAGGAGCTACTTTACACATAATATTCCACAGTTTTGTAATTCTATTAAAATATGAGGCCTTAAATAAAGATGTTTTACAGGACTGAGTTTTCAGCAGTAATTCCGGATTAAAACAGTTTCTTGTGCGGTTGTGGGGAACAAAATTAACAAAGTTGTTAACGTCAATAGGCGATATTCCGTACAGACAGTTATAAAAAAATATTAAGTCTTTGATCTCTCGGTCATAACAAAGAGGCAACATATTCAACTTAATTAAGCGTTCTTTGTAAGAGGATTCGTGCAGTCTTTCCTTTAATATCCATCTGGTTGCTCTGCGCTGCACGCGTTCTATTTTAAGCTTTAAGTATATGTGATGCGGTGACCAGACAACGGTGGCATAAGACAGTTGAGATTTCACAATGGATAAGTAGAGTGATCGACGGACATTTGCGTCGGGTAAGAGAGGGCAAGTTCTTTTCAGGAGACCCAAGAGCTTATTTGCTTTCATCTTATTTGTGTTCATCTTGTCTTGGTCCTTTTCATGATGAAAGATGGTAACACCACAGGCTTACCATCTTAAATATCTGTGGTTTTGGGTTTCTATGGTAATGGGTCCTGTGGCATTTACATAGCCGTTATAAATGTAGTTCAAATTTATTGCCTCTAGAATCTGTCCCTAGTAGTCAGTCTTCCTAAAAAAGTCAGCTTCGAACAAAGCTTAATGGTTCATTACTTGTCTGGAAGTATTTTTTTCTGCCAGAAAGCCTCAAAATCGTTTCAGTTATCGAATTTCGGACCCAGCCACCCTACCCGAGGTACAAAAATGTGAAAAATTGTATTCCCTATCGGGGCCCCAATGGCGCTACTTTGTACTTCCGGCGGATGTCATAAGCCAAGATGGACCAATAAGAATCGAGATAGTTTTTGTAAACATTCTCAGGAAAACCCATCGAGTGTTAGATATGTAAGTTTGAATTTTCTTTAACAGTTGTTCACGCATGTTTGGAATTCCTTTGAGTACCCCTCATGTCTGGATCCCTAGAATAGATCCAAATCTACGACTTTGCGTTCCATTTTCTCGTAAACCGTTGAATGGAACGATTCAAAACTGAGTCACCGTAACAGCTGGTTAATCCTTCTGTGGCCTGTTGAATTTCGGTGGGAAAATAAGACCTAGAAGGTAAAACACTTTTGTCTTGAGTACGAGGTGGCGTGCGATCTGGATGCCTAAGCTGCCTGCATTGTCGCATTTCTTAACTATGGAGAACAAGCCGAATTAACTGTCGAACTTTGAAAGCCCCAAACAAGCGATTTGGAGGTTTTCTGGCAGAAAAAAACGCTTCCAAACAATGAACTATTAAGCTTTATTTGGAGCTGATTTTTTTTGAAGACTGACTACAGATTCTAGAGGCAATGTATTTGAACTACAGCTATAACAGCTATGTAAATGCCACAGGATCATTACCATAGAAACCCAAAACCATGGATTTTTAAGATGGTAAGCCTGTGGTAACACTTTCCTCTTTGAGGTGTTGATGATACTATCATACATTGTTTAGTACAGTTGACAGATTTCTTACCAGTATATCCTTTCCCCTTGTTATCCAAGTTGACAGATTCCTGACAAGTACATCCTTTCTCTTTAGTGTAGTCTGATGTAAGATTAGTTTGTAAATGAAATCAAACATTATTTTTCTTCTTCCTCTAGCAGCATTGTTTTCTGACATTTTAAATTCTACTGTACATTTCACGGACCTGAAAAGTGTTGGATGGGTAGAATATTGTTTAGGAAACTCAATGACAAACTGATGTTAGGTTTCCTAGAAAAATCAATTTTTTCCCCATGAGGATTCGCAAGGAAATTTACATTTTTGGACAAAAAGCTAGGAAATTTAAAAACTTATGCCTGTGGCAACCATGCCGTGGCTTGTGTTTGGAGTACAGCTACCTAAATTTAGAATTAATTTTGTTAAAGAAAATAAACACCTTCATAACAGCTGTTACAGCACCAATGAGACTACATCCTACAGGCTAATTTAAACTCTGATACTTTGTAATTTTTTTTTGTTTTCTATATTTACACCCGAGTTTTTGCCAACTTGTTAATGAACATATCCACCACCCCACTTTTGGCTTTTGACAAAAAAATCTAACCAGTCCAATTTTTTGTTGACTGTATTTTCCCATCAGGTAACTGCAAAAAAAGGGTTTTATTTGTCACTTGGCTCAAGCTTGGAAAGAGTTAGTTTTGATTGTTAGATGAACTTTTTTAGTGGAAACTTTTAAGACTGGAAGAGATGACTCATGCTTGCTCAGATGTCTATTGCTTAACATGTCTATTCTATGAAGTTTTTAGGAAGTTTTTTTTATCACATTTTGGTACTGCTATAATTAAACCAGAAAGAGAAAACAATTGAAAAATTTTGGTGCTTTTCAATTCAATTTTCATCTCTTCTTAACCAATTCTCAGAGGTCGCAACTTTGATTACTGTCTTTTTCTCAAATCAACTTTCAACTTGATACGATTAATGTATTGTTAAAAGTTATTGATTATTTTGGGTTGTTTCCTTTCAAGTTGACAGAGGTGCTTGTCTTTGGCTGGTTGTTGCAACTTAAAACAATTCAGAGTCCACCAACAGGCAAAGAGAAAAGACAGAAAGCTGTTAAGAAAACTAAACTGTTTTGTGTGGCTGAAAGAATCTTGAACTGTGTACAAGAGACGGGCAACTTATTGCTGACCCACAATGGAGTCGGCATCACTCATGAAGACTTCCTCAGTCTTGATCTGGGATGCTAAGGCTTGGAACACCAAAAAAACAAAGAGAAGTGTTTGAAAACTGTTTTGGAAACTGGACTGTCTTGCTATGCAGAATAGATCTTGAACTGTGTACAAGAGATGGGTGACTAATAGCTGACCCGCAATGGAGTCAGCTTCACCCTCAAAGTCTCTTTCACTCTTGATCTGGGATGCTGAGACTTGGTCCCCCCCAAAAAAAGAGAAGTGTGAGAAAACTGTTTTGGAAACTGGACAGTCTTGCTACACTGAAAAGGTCTTGAACTGTGTACAAGAGACAGGTAACTAATTGCTGACCCACAATGGAGTCGGCATTACCCATTAAGTCTCTTCCTCAGTCTTGATCTGGGATGCTAAGACTTGGTCCACCAAAAAATAAAGAGAAGTGTGTGAAAACTGTTTTGAAAACTCGACAGTCTTGCTATGCTGAAAAGGTCTTGAACTTTGCACAAGAGATCTAGGGGACTCACAGCTGACCTGTAATGGAGTCAGCTTCACCTGTAAAGTCTCTCCCTCAGTCTTGATCTGGCATGCTAAGACTTGGCTAAGAATTGACGTTTCGGGTGTTACCCTTCGTCAGAGCACTGTCACACTGACAGTCAAAATGTCCAAGAAAATACTACAGGCACTAAACTCAAATGGACAGTCAGTCAGTCAAATATTGCAGTATTCAATGAGCCAATCATTTGGTTAACAAATTTTTCAATTAGTTTGGCTCTTAATCCAAGCAGCCGTGAGCCCAAGCAGTATGATGGTTAATCAGCTAATCAGTTACTTAATTGTCTGTAAGTCAGTCATGAGAGTATCTGCCAGTTAAATAGCTTGTAAAATCAGTGCCAATAACAGCAACTCCAGTAAATATGTCAGTCAGTTCGTCTGTTAGTTGAGTACCGGTATTGATGAATTTATTATGATGTTTTCATGTTGGAGTCCCTTAAGGTGGAGGGGGGAAGAGGACGGAGGGGAGGGAGAAGCAAAAAAGCAATGTTCAATATTTCTATTCTCTTCCTCTTTCCTTTTTTTTTTTCGCTATGGAATCTGCTGCGAAATTCAAGGCCAACGCTTATATGTTAAGTCCTCCTGCATCTCTCTCAATGCCTCTATTGGACTAGACCCAGTTCTACTTTTAAGGTCATTTCCTTCTCACAAGATTAGTTTCAGAAACATTGTTTCCCTTAAGTTCATGGCCCAAGAACCAGAGCCCCTCAGGTTCAGTTTAGGTTGTTTGAAGAGTCAGTGGATCTAAAAATTTTACACCTTTTATTTTCCTTTTATTTTCCTTTTATTTTCCTGGTGCACCCATTGCTTAGAAAACATAGATCTGATTTACTGAGATAGGCTAACTGTGTGTATGTTTTGACAGATTTCAATGTACTGCCTCACTGATCTTACCATCTAGTACCAGAAAGTGTGCCAGGCTTTCTCCCTTGCAATTTTGCAAAACTGGAGACAGGTCTGTCCTTTAACATACTGACCTGTTAGGTTACTATGCCATTCATCTCATTCTTTTATGTCTTGTCAATCAGCTAATGAATATCATTTGGCAGGCTTCATAGTGTGCACAAGTCAAACTACTACAATCAAACTGATGTCCCCGTAAACTTTCCTCACAATTCCATCCAGGGGTGGCCATACTTTAGCTGAGTGAATTTTCAAAAGAAAATTAAAAGTCAGCTAAAAAAGAATCTCCCTACCAAGCAGTGAGCCAAGCAGACATTTTTAAAAGCTAGCACTCAGTAAGATAGTCTGTCAAACAGCCAAACCATAAAAAATAAGAGCACTGTGAGTCATTCAGTCTTCCAGTAAACCAGTCATTAAGTCAGACAGTTTGTCAGTAAGCTAATCAAAAAGTCTACAAGCCGGCCAGTCAGTCACCTAGTTGTTCCACTGGCCTGTGAGCTTGTGAATTTGGCAGTCTGTCAGCCAGTCAGACACTCAGTGACTTAGTCATTTGGTGAACTACTTAAAGTCATGTTGTATTTCAGCCTGTTAATTAACGGGTAAACTCTTAGAAAACTAATCCATGAGTTAGTCAGTTGGCTAGCGAGTGTCTTACAAACTTGGTGAACCAACCATGATATCAGGTCTGTCTGACTGACTGACTTAAGTTACTGATTCTTAAGGGTAGGGCACACCCTAGAAAATCAGTAACTAAAGTCAGTCCATCAGATGGTCAGTGAGCCAGCAAAACAGTCTACCAGCCAGCCAGTTGGCCACTTAGTCTTTTGGTCAGTCAACCTCTGAGTCAGCCAGTAGAACTGTCAGTCAGAAAATTTGTCTACAATCAGTCACACTGTCAGTGAATTTGGTGGGCAAATCATGCTATCTATGTGTCTGTCTGCACATTACAAGATACACTGTACGGTGTAATTTGGTCTTATCAACTGAGTTGATAACATGAATTGGTCTCTGTAGAGGATTTCTTAAGCTGACATTTCATATGAGTAAATGTCAGCACATTGGTGTCTGTTAGTCAGTCAGCAGCTCAATAAGTTCATCAGTCAGCCAGTCAGTGACTTTTAACTATTTACCGGTCAAAACATGCTGTCAATCTACCTGTTATAATTATATCTTGGGTTTTATTAAGCACAAAATAATTTGTTTCAAAACATATTCTTCTTTCTAGAGTTTATGATGTGCCTTGTAATCTCTTGTGCAAATGTTGATCTATGAAGAGCCATGTATTTTTTTAGCAAGTCTTTACATCGGTGTACAAAAGTTGTACACCAACTAAAGTTTCACTTTTTCAAGCATCTAGTGGTCGAGATTTAAAGCTTGGATTTGATCTTCATGCGCACAACTTCCACTTTTCAAGTGGAAGTTACTTAAAAGAGGCGGGACAGTTCGTTACTTAGTAACAACATCATTCATTCTATTTACTAGTTTAACACATAAATAATGCAAAACAAATGTTTTCGAGAATGAGTCAAGCCAGATCAAAAGGCTTTAAAATGTTAAAACATAAGTCCTGGTGTTTAAATTCAGCTTTTGTGTACACCCTAGCTTTGCAGCTTTGTACTTTTTGTGCAAGACTTAAATGTAATTTTACATACCTCTTCTTGTTCCTTCCTCTCATTCTACTTTCACTTCTTGGATGCACCATTTTGCAGTCTCTTCTCAGTGGTTTTTTCAGTCTTGTTCAATTGTCTTGGCTGATGCCATCTTCTCCTTCTCTTGTGTTTTGAACAGGACAACTTGAGAAATCTTAGAGGAATTATACTAATTATTAAAAACTGGATCATTGGATAATGCAATTCAAGACTTTTTATTGGCTTAGCCATTATGGTATATGAGCCAATATACCATAATCTACAAATATGGTAAGCATACGAGTCAGCTTAAAATCAAAAGGGAGCTAAAAAATCCGGTTTCCTCTTACAAAATAATTATTTCTTGGGGGCGCTTTTAATAAAAGAATTATACCACTCACACTTGTTGGATATGAGATGATTATAGCCAACTTGGCGTTACGCGCCTTGTTGGCTATCTATCATCTCATATCCAATGCGCGCTCGTGGAATAATTGTTAATTAGTAGTTTTGTATATTAGGAAAAAGGACAGATCTCCTTTTAAAACTTTCAGACTAGCCCTTAAAGACACGACCATGATCGTTGAGCAAGTGTGCTTTAATGCATGAAGGTCTAATTCAGTTGGTAGCTTAAAAAATACCTGATGATCTATTCACACCACTGGTTAGATCCAAATTTCACAGAAAGAACCAATCTCAGCTCTTAGAAAAATTTCACAGAAAGAACCAATCTCAGCTCTTAGAAAAATCTCATTGTTATTGATGGATTAGCTCTTGAGCCAATCACACAACAATCAAAAATAATTTGCAATCAAAAAGCATTCTGTAACCACTTAAAACTTCCTCAGTTGCTCAGTCCTATTTCACACCCAAGAAGAACTGTAATGGTAAAAAGAATTTTTCACCTATACCAAATACATTCAATAAAGCACCATGGCATTCAATAAATTTTTGGTGACTTTCGTGCAAAGCTTAATCAGGGGCAAAGCTTATAAGAGGGTGGTGCACATCTACAAATCCTCATATTAATTAAAATGTGTACTAAAAAGACAATAAACTGTTGAAAGTATTGGTACAGGTGGTATATCCTTGATCAAAACTCAATGTGTAGTACCATCATCAGTTACCTTTGAACAGAACAAAGCCGTTACGTTTGAACAACAAAATTATTCTCCTCCATCCGACGTAGAAAAGAAAAAAGCTTATCCTTTTAAAGCATACACATATAAAGATCGAGTTGCAATATCATGAAACAAGCCAACTCTTAATTAAGTAAAAGGTAAAATAAAGTTGAATTGCGAATTGTGAGCGAAATTTTAAACTTGAATCACATTGTGGTACAGAGTGGGTTTGAACAGCAATTTACCTTCAACTCGACAATACTGAGCAGTGTGCCATATGTATTTCATCCTGGCATTCTATTCTTACGACTTATTCAACCAAACTTGAGCACAGCTAGGAAATAAACAAACAATCAAATCTGCCGCGAAACATGGCGGACCGACCTACGATCGCAAAGATCTGCAGGTAAAACACTGGGCCTAGCCTCTCAACAAACCACCTGAAAGAGAGGTTCAGGACGATAATAATAATAACAATAATAATAATAACAATAATAATAATAACAATAATAATAATAATAATAATGATAATGATAAGAAGAATAATAACAATAGTAATATTAGATATCTATAGTGCGCATTTACTATAAAATAATCTAATGCGCATTCCAAACATTACAATAAATACAAAATAAGAACATATTTACAGACACTATGAAATCAAAGACGAAAACTACACTATTACAATTGGCTATATGAAAATTAATTTCGAGAAAAAAGAAACTATATAAACTAAATAAACTAATACCTACCTTGGTATAAACTAATTGTACTAACAAAACGTCTTGCTGAATAACAATGTCTTAAGTTTCTGTTTAAAGTCATTTTTAGTGCAAGCAGATCTAATGCTTACGGCAGGACTATTCTAATGCCTCGGCGCTGCCGGAATGGAGGATCGATCCTCCATGATAACTTTTGTGAAACGCTACACTCTTTTTTTTATTTTAAGAATTGAACGACTAGTTTAATTTTGGTGCTCGGGCTGAACATTCTCATTTTTTTTTCACGATTTGAGCCTGAAAACGTTCTTGACATGTTCTTAAAGTTGTGCCAATTATAATCAATTCGTAGGTGACCAGACTAAGTTTGACCACAAACTTGTTCTTCAGTGTATCGTGCAATAACCGCATTTTTAATGTTGAAAAAATGTCCCCAAGTATTTGAGTTAATTGTCCTCTTAGACCAAATTTTTACATCTCTTTTTCCCTTATTTATAATCCTCACCAAAATAAAATGAAAAAAAAAAAACAGGTATTCTTAACTGACTCTCGGCCTGGGTATGTTCTTGGTAGACTTTAGTATGTTCTTAAAATTTTGGTTAATCTCAACTAGCCTGAACGTTCCCAGAGAAAAAAATTCTTATATATATATATACAAAAGAGTATATAAGAAAAAAGTTAGAACGTTGATACCTCGTCGTGTCGAGAGTTAGAAAAAATGTTTTGAATGATTTATGACTTGGTTCCGTTGGCTGGTTGGCGATTGTTTCCAATCGCTTTTACGTTCGTAGGAGAGGGGAAGAAAGGGAAAATGAGGAAATAGTTAAAGGGAGGAACAGTGTCGCGGAAAAATTAAGAAATAGAAGAAATAAAGAACTATGGAACGAGACACGGGAAAGCAGGAAACATGACTTGAAAGGGAAGACTGAACGGGACACGAAAGACGAGGAACCGAAACAGAAGGAAACTGGAATAATGGGAGCAGGGAAGCAGCTAGGAACAGAGGAACAGAGGAACAAAGGAACAGAGAAAGAGAAGAACAGAAAAACAGAGAAACAGAGAAACAGAGAAACAGGGCATATCAAACTGTTTCCCCACTGCGATGAACATTTGTTTTTGTCGGTTCCAGCCTGGCGCGGCCGCTAACCCAGATGCCCTCCTGAGCAAATTTTCAAAATGGCGGAAAAGCCAAAGAGAGAGATAAGAGAACCAAAGCGATTCTGCAACGAATACTCAGCATACACCCCTGTTAAAAAGGTCATTTCACAGAGAAAAGATACAAAATTGTATGATATTGAAGTCACGGAGGTTGACAAACCCAACAAGAGACTGAAAATTCACTACATTGGCTACAGTACACGCTTCGATGAGTGGAGACCCTTCGGGGTTCTGTCCTCGTGTACCGGTTCACAAGAGCCAATACAAAAGACCAAACAATACACAATAGCTAACCGATAACTCCTAAACAAAGAAAGAACAATGGTAATTCCCTTGTGAACCGGTACACCAGGACAGAACCCCCTTCGGGGACGGTGAAGCATCTGAATATTTTCCTTCGAAATTGTATAGATTAGTAGGCTGCAACAAAAATTTATTGGACGACGTTTAGGGTAAAAACAGCAATCTAACCTGAAAAAAATGTATTTATTCCGACTCTTTCGGAAAATAACTTTACAAATCTTACTTGTTTATCTCGTAAGTAAACGATGGTGAAGCGCTTTCCGAGCTACCCGATTCTTCTCCCACTGCTTTCACGCTTATAAAACAGGAAACGAGCAAAAGGAGGAAGGTGTGGCTGTTTTGACTAGCCATTTGACGAGGTTCAATCTGCTCCTTGTTCGACAATTTACATATCAAAACAAAGGAAATTTGTTCCTCTCTTTGATTTTGGCGGTACATTTTCAATTTGCGCTTGCGTAAGAGAGAAATCGCCCAAGACTCCTTGCTCGGTCTTGTTTTGACCACGAACGCCTTCTTAATTTTGACGGACCCGCTCGGGAAAAGGTGAAAATGACGAGGGAAAAACTTTACTTTGTAGTACGAAAATACACAAAATGGAAAGCCATGATATTATAGTTCAATATTTCGGTGGTACATTGTTAACTTTTTATACAGAGAGTCGGCAAGATGATATAACATCCAAAAATCGCACTCGATTTGAGTGGGCCGATGAAGTGGGCGTGGTCACGAAATTCAGTAAGAGACTATTTGTACCCCGTGAGTTTGATATGATTTAGCAATGGACATTCCACTGGGTGGCTCTTCTTGTCCACTGTTTCCAGATCGAATTGGAATTTGGAATGTTGGTTTTTTCTGAGGGAGGAAAACCAGAGGACCCGGAAAAAAA